CCACAATGCCCGGCTATTTTTTGGTTGCAGCCGTCATTGTTGTTTGGCGGGTCCGGGCTGGGGATTCGAACCCGCCACCTTAGGTGTACATGGCTGGCGTCCTAGCCCATTGAGCTATAGGCGCTGAGCCTCATTTCTTTATTTATTTTGGTACAGAGTCTCATTTTGTCACCCTGGGTAGAATGCTGTAGCATCATAGCTCACAGCAACTTCAAACTCCTGGGCTCAAGTGATTCTCTTGCCTCAGCCTCCTGAGTAGCTGGGACTACAGGAGCCCACCACTATGCCTGGCTATTTTTAGAGACTGGGTCTCACTTTAGCTCAGGCTGGTCTCAAGCCTGCAAGCTCAAGTGATCTGCCCACCTCCACCTCCCAGAGTGCTGGGATTACAGGCGTGAGCCACCGCGCCCAGCCTACATTTGTAAATATTTTGTAAAATTTTGGAAGGACACCCTGTGGATGCTTCTTATACATTGAATTTAATCCTCACAATTCTATGAAACCAATTGTATAACATAAAACCAAGACTGGAATGAGCCTAGTTCAAGGTTAGGCAGGCAGCACAGAGTGGAAGCAAGAGTGTCAAAGCCAGCACTTGTTGCAGCAAAATGAACCTTCCTTCTTCCTCTGCTGCACAATACTGCCAGGTTTAAACCAACCCCAATGCCTGGCAATATACCAGCCCACTGTGTCCCTACTGCTCAGAGAAGAGACCAAGGAACCAGAGGCAGCTCTCTCTCACTGATGGGAACAAGGTGTTTCAGATTCCCTCCCCACAATGACTCTTTCAGATGGCCTCCACCCCTAGGCAAAGAAGTTCCAAACCAGAGACCCACCTGTTGATGCCAAGGTGAGGTAGTAGAGAAGGGAGCCACACTGGTTGAGGACAAAGGGCATCAGGTACTAGAAACAGGAGAAACCTTCAGTCAGTGTGATGCCTTGACTGAGAAGCACTGTCTTCCTTGAACTTCTAGCATATACCTTTCCTTGGAGGGAAGGATGGTTATAAAGACTCATGGAACATTAAGCCCTCTGAGAAGAACCCTTTCAGGGCAAAGACAGAAACAGACTGAACGCCATGCTTTTGCCCTAACATCCCCGCCTCAGTCTCCTAGTTCCCATCCTCCCCATCCTGTAAGACCTTTGAGAGACAATGTCACCTCTTCCGAGACTTCTGGAAATCCCCCAGTTCTAGTCTCCCTTCTCTAAACTAGCACAGCACTTTATCTGAACCTCTCTTACAGCCCTTAGCCCTGAGAAGTGGCTCTGTCCATGTCTTGTCTTTCCTACTACCCTAGATTGGCAGCAGTTTTCCATATCCCTCTTTATTCCTACCCAAGGCCAATTTGAACCTCAAACCCTCCTTCAGAAAAGGGCCACAATAGCTGCCTTGGCCAGGTGTGGTGGCCCACACTTATAATCCCAGAACTTTGGGAGGCCGAGGGGGAGGATTCTTGAGGCCAGCAGTTCAAACCAGCCTGGGCAATATAGTGAGGCCTCATCTCCACAATATCAAGGAAAAATTAGTGGGCATGGTAGCACATGCCTGTAGTGTCAGCTACTTGGGAGACTGAAGAAGGAGGATCATTTGAGTCCAGCTTTTTGTTTGTTTCTTTATCACCCTCAGTAGAGTCTCACTTTATCGCCCTTAGTAGAGTGCTGCGGTGTCAAGGTTCACAGCAAGCTCCAACTCCTAGGCTTAGATGATTCTCTTGCCTCAATCTCCTGAGTAGCTGGGACTACAGGTATCCACCACAATGCCTGGCTGTTTTTTGGTTGCAGTTGTGATTGTTGTTTTATCAGGCCCTGGCTAGGCTCAAATTCACCAGTCTCAGTGTATGTGGCCAACATCCTACCCACTGAGCTATGGAGGCTGACCCTACCCAGCTATTTTTAGATAGGGATCTCACTCTTGCTCAGGCTGGTCTCAAACTCCTGAGCTCAGGCAATCCACCTGCCCTGGCCTCTCAGAGTGCTATTACAGGCATGAGCCACCATGCTCCACCCAGTCCCGGAGTTTGAAGCTGTAGTGAGCTATGATGCTACTATAGCACTCCAGCCATGGAAATTAAGCAAGACCCTCCCTCTTAAAAATAAAAACAAAAACCAGTTGCTATATGTAATTGAAGGGAATCACAATAATAGCAGCCATAGGTTGAGCACTTATGTCTAGACCCAATCCTAAGTGTTGTTTTGTTTTGAGACAGAGCCTCAAGCTGTCCCCCTGGGTAGAGTGCTGTGGCATCACAGCTCACAGCAACCTCCAACTCCTGGGCTCAGGCGAGTCTCCTGCCTCCGCCTCCCAAGTAGCTGGGACTACAGGCGCCCACCACAACGCCCTGTTATTTTTTGGTTGCAGCCATCATTGTTGTTTGGTGGGCCTGGGCTGGATTCGAACCCGCCAGCTCAGGTGTATTTGGCTGGTGCCTTAGCCGCTTTAGCCACAGGCACCGAGCCACAATGTTAAGTTGCCCTTGGTAGAGTGCCATGGCATCACAGCTCACAGCAACCCCCAGCTCTTGGGCTTAGGCGATTTTCCTGTCTCAGCCTCCCAAGTAGCTGGGACTACAGGCCACAACCCCGCCACAACACCAGGCTATTTTTTGTTGCAGTTTGGCCAGGGCTGGGTTCAAACCTGCCACCCTCAGTATATGGGGATGGTGCCCTACTCACTGAGCCACAGGCACTGCCCTTCTTTTTTTTTTAGACAGAGTCTCAAGCTGTTGCCCTGAGTAGAGTGCTCTGGTGTCACAGCTCACAGCAACCTCAAACTCTAGGGTTAGATTCTCTTGCCTCAGCCTCCCAAGTAGCTGGGACTACAGGTGCCCACCACAACACCTGGCTATTTTTGTTATTGTTGTCATTGTTGTCTTAGCTGGCCGGAGCCAGGTTTGAACCCACCAGCTTTGGTGTATGTGGCCAGTGCAGGTGCCGGCTTTTTTTCTTTCTTAGAGACAAGAAAGTCTTGCTATGTTGCCCAGTCAAGAGTGCAGTAGTGGCTCGGCGCCTGTGGCTCAAGCGGCTAAGGCGCCAGCCACATACACCAAAGGTGGCGGGTTTGAATCCCCAGCCCAGGCCCTCCAAACAACAATGACGGCTGCAACCAAAAAATGGCCGGGCGTTGTGGCGGGCGCCTGTGGTCCCAGCTACTTGGGAGGCTGAGGCAGGAGACTCGCTTGAGCCCAGGAGTTGGAGGTTGCTGTGAGCGTGATGCCATGGCACTCTATCCAGGGGGATAGCTTGAGGCTCCGTCTCAAAAAAAAAAAAAGAGTGCAGTAGTGTGATCACATCTCACTGAAGCCTCCAACTTCTGGGCTCACATGATCCTCCTTCCTCAGCCTCCCAAGTAGCTGGGACTACATGCCTGAGCCGCCTCACTAGGCCTGATGTTGAGAGCTTTATGTGCCTCACCTCACTTAATTCTCAGAACTGCCCCATAAGATGGTTACCATTATAACTTCCATCTTACACATGATGAAACTGAGGCTAAAGGAGAACAAAAGTTTCTATTGAGGAAGTAGTGGGACCCAGATTCTGATCCAGACCTCTTTGACTCTAGAGACCAAATTCTTAGCGGCTCTTCCCAAAGAAAGAGGACTTTCACAAACGCACCTCAGTATTCAAGAAGAGAGTCTTCATCTCCTGCAGCAACTGCCGGGCCCAGGTTGGCTCACGAACCTGCTGCAGGCCTGCAGAGGCCCGCTTCAGCAACGGCTGAGTGCCGCCCCACAGAGCAGCCACCAGTACCAGAGCCAGCACCTGCTCTGAATGCAGATGGACGATTCCAGGTTATCCTGACCTCCGACCCCAAACGGCCGCCCGCCTGGCCCAGGCTTTCTCTCCCCCACCCCCCAGGTCCCACCTGGTCCTCCCCTGGCCTCCTAGTCCCCGCTAGCCGCCCTCAGCTCCCTCCTTCGCTTTTCGGCGTCCCAGCTGCGATCAGCCGACAGGACAAGCCCAGGAGGCCGGGGATATGAATCCCTGAGTCTGGGTTCTGGGGTAGGAGGTGGGTTCCGGGGTGGCAGGTGGAGGCGGAGTAAGAAATGATTTCCCAGCCACGGTCGCGAAATCCACGGAGGGGCGGGACTGGATACCCACCTAGAGACGCCGCCATGGCAACGCCGCTACCTTCTACTTCCGGGAACAAGGGGGCGGGACACCAGCATTCGGAAGTGGCGCGTGAACCTCTTCCGGTCCTACTCACTTTGCGGCTCTCAGCCTCACTGCCAAGATGGTGAGTTCTATGGAGTTGGGGGTGTTGCACTGGGGGTTCTGGACTGGGGCAGGGGCCCGATTCCGGGCACTGACGCTTGCGTCCTATCCTTACAGAAGCCGATCCTGCTTCAGGGACATGAACGGTCCATTACGCAGATTAAGTATAACCGCGAGGGAGACCTCCTCTTCACCGTGGCCAAGGACCCTGTGAGTGTCTACGGGAGGGCGGGCGGCAGCATGTGGAGGGGAGCCGGGAGTTCCTTCTGTCACCACATAGGGTGCACAGGCCAGTTTTGCCGTCAGAAGGGCACTAACAAACGCCCCTTTTTGAGAAGTAAGGAGAGTCCTGCCAGGGGTAGGTCGGTGAGAGTATTCTATCGGGAAGGGTGAGAAAGAACTTTGTTGTTGGTAGAAGAAAGTAGCCGGGGAGAAGAAAAGCAAGAGACCACTGCGGAAAGGGGATTGGGATGAGGGCCAGCTTGCTCAGGACAAGACTATTCAGGGCAGGAACTAAATCATTCTGCCAGCGTGGGAGAAAAGACTACCTCTAGTAGGGGAAAGCTGATCTGGCAAGCTGTGTCATTAAGACACGGAGGACCTAACGAGGGTGTCCTTAGTCTCATTTCAGGCAGTACCATCCTGCTACTCAGCGCAAACAGTCCCTCACAGTACAGCCTTTTTAGGCATCTCCACACGGGGGAAGTTAACTAGTGGTTAAAAGTGAGGAGGGGGCTCTGAAGTCAAACATCTGATTTGAATCCTCATTCCTGCACCTATTAGCACTGTGATTTTTTTTTTTTTT